CCTGCACAGTTATCTATGTCCAACTGGTTACACGTACATGCATATAAATTCTGTGGTTTATCTCTTCCGCCCAACACCCCCTCTTCTGAGGTTTGTCAGTCTGTACCCCACCTCTATGTCTCTGGGTCAATTTTGTTCATCAGTTTATCCTGCATTTTTTAAAGAGCCCCTGATTTCAAAGCTGGTAGTGGTAAAGGGCAAGAATCACTGTCACATTTTTAACATAGCTCCAGAGGAACTAGGATTTAAACTCCAAGTCTTCTCATTCCTATGGCAACCAGCAGAAGCATTCAACTAGTGCTGCATGCCTTGTACACTGAGCCTCCCCCACCTGCTGCCTCCCTCCCCGTGGATTCAACCCGAACCTCACAGAGCTGTGCACCTTGGAAAGCGCTCTCTTCCAGGCAGGTTGCTTTCTGACATGAAAGCCATCAGACCCAGGAATGTAAAAGGAGGGAGTCCTCCCAGAGGAGAACTTTACAAACCCAGAGGGGAAAATGTCCCCCCTAAAAGAATTACTGTCTGCTTCCCTGATTTGACAGGTTTGAAAGCTTCTTGTTTTAAAGCCAGACATGAATCTGTGAAGAGATTCCCTTGAGTTACAACCCTTTTGGGGACCAGCTACCATGAAGATAACATATGTTGTGAGACAGAGCCAAAAAGCAGCCACCGGGCGGCCGCGCTGGGAACATTTATAACATCCTCAGGAAGCTGCAGTGATTAGTCATGGGTCTGGAGAAAGACCCCTCTGCTCTGACTGCCTCAGGCGCGGGGGCTGGCTGTCACCATGTCTGCCTGTTCAGGGAGGACTCTGTTCTCCTAGAGGTGTGTGAGAACCTGAAGCCTAAGATTCAAAGATCCAAAGGCCAAGCAAAGACAGCTTAAGTTCTGACATTTTAAAAAAATTTCCAAGGGGGGAAAACATAATTTTAAGGGTGAAGATGGGCTAGGATGTTTTGCCTAAAATCCTACTTAGATTCCAAGACAGTGATGAACTGTGGACTAGTCGTTCACTTCTGCTCCTTGGGAAGGTCCAGAGGAACATTCTGGATCGGAATGAAGCATGCTACCCCTGTTGGCTTCTTTCCAGAACTAACCATTGTCCCTCTGTCCCCCATGACTCCTCAAATGGGATGTATGTTTAGCGGGTGTTGGGTTAGGACCGTCAATCACTGTATTCCTGGTAAGCGTAAGGACTGGGAGCTGGAACACCCGGGTGTTGCTCTCTCATCTGTAGCTCTGTGATGTTGGGTATAGTGCTTTCCTTCCCTTAGAAGATGGAGAAGTTAAACTATGAAGTCTCTGAGTCTAAGGTATCTTATTGCTCGAAAAGTCTAGAACTATTTGAACTGAAGTCAATAGAATTGGGGTCTGATTAAGCTCTAACTTTTTTTTTTTTTCTGTAAACTGAGACCAGAATATGTAAACGTGGACCACACTGTGAGACCCATGGGAGAGTCTTGCTGCTCAATGCGTCCATGGACCACCAGCAGCATGACCTCGGCACCTGAGAACAGTAGACTCTTGGGTCCCACTCCAGATCCACTGTTTCAGAACCTGCATGTTAACCATCTCTTCTGGAAATTCATATGCATATTAAAATTTGAGAACCACGGACATTCAGCACTTAAAGAGGCTGCATTTCACCCAGCCCGTGAGGCTCAGTGGTTGAGCGTCGACCCTTGCACCAAGAAGTCACCGGTTTGATTCCTGTCAGGGCACATGGCCAGGTTGTGGGCCCGATCCCCAGTGGGGGGCATGCAGGAGGGGACCAATCAATGTTCTCTCTCATTGATAGTTCCATCTTTCTCCCCCTCTCCCTTCCTCTCTCTCTAAAATCAATAAAGAAATAAAAATTAAGAGGCTGCATTTCTATTGATAAATTTGTTGGCAGCAAGGTGAATTATTGGAAGCACCATGATTTACCTTCCTCTCACCCCCTTGAGGTTATCATTAATTACTATTCTCAAGTAACAGATGAGAAAACCAAAGTGTAAAGAGATTAGGCAACGTGCCAGTAGTCACACAATAAACAGACTATGAAGTGGTGAAACCAAAGAAGATTTAAGGTAGATTTCCCGTATGGCCAGTCAGCTAAGGAGAGTAAGGCGTGTCCACTAGCTCTTCTTCAGATTGCCCACCTTAAACCTCTCTTATTTATTAACAGATAATCTCCTGGCAAAGAAGCTCGTTGGAGGACTCTCCCCACCTCCCAACTTGAAATAGCATTTTTTTTAATTTTAAAAATCATCATTTTATTCTTATGACAATATCACATGAAAGTCAGGGGTGAAGTTATTACTTCATTTTTCAGACAGGATAAGATTTAAAGCCTAGAGGACTGAATTTACTTCTTTGAGCCCAAGTCATAGAGCCCAAGCAAAACCCCAGATATGTGGGTGCCAAGCCTAGTACTGTTGTCATTGCCTCCATACTGTGTTTGATTCAGAATATGCATTGTGCAGACCACTCTATCCAAAATGATGGATAGAGTGACCTCTTGAAGATGCTTTTTAAAAATTAAAACATTTTAATTGTGGTACAATATGCATAACATAAAATTTACTATCTTAACCATCTTAAAGTATATAATTCAGTGGTATTAAGTACATTCACATTGTTGTGAAACCATTACCACCATCTATCTATAGAACTCTTTTCATCTTGCAAAACTAAAATTCTATACACATTGAATAACTCTCCGTGCCCCCTCTTCCCTGTTCCTGGCAACCACTATTCTACTTTCTGTCTTTGTAAATTTGACTAATCTAGGTACCTCGTGTATTTACCAGATATTTATTTCTTTAAATACCAGGGTATTTATTTCTTTGTGACTGGTGTATTTCATTATCATAATGTCGTCAAGGTTCATTCATGTTATAGTATGTGTCAGAATTTCCTTCCTTCCTTTTTTTAATCTTCACCTGAGGATATTTTCATTAATGAGAGAGAGAGAGAGAGAGAGAGAGAGAGAGAGAGAACATCAATGCTCAACATTGATTAGTTGCCTCCTGTACGTGCCCTGACTGGAGATAGAATCCACAGCCTAGGTATGTGTGCCCAGATCAGAGTCGATCACCCAACCTTTTGGTGCACAGAATGATGCTCATTCAACTGAGCCACCCAGCTCAGCATAATTTCCTTCTTTTTTAAGACTAATATACCATGGTATGTATATACCACATTTTGATCCTCCATTTGTTGATGGACACATTAGTGGCTTCTACCTTTTGGCTGTTGTAAATAATGCTGCCGAGAACATAGGCATACAAATATCTCTTCAAGCTCCTACTTTAAATTCTTTAGAGCTTTTGTCCAGAAGTGGAATTGCTGGGTCATGTGGTAATTCTATTTTTAATTTTTGAGGAATGGCTTCCCAAAGTAACTGCATCATTTTACAATCCCACCAACAGTGGAATGTTTTTTTTTAAAGTTATTTTTTAAATTTAAGAAAAACTTAATACCATAATTAAGGCTAATGTCCATTTTCCTACATTATTTCTTTCACTTGATGTTTTCGCCAAATGAAAGACTGAGTTCTGGAATCAGCGCCACAGGCTTTTCAATGCTCTGAAAGGTGACACGGCATCCTCCTCACTCTTCAGCAGAGATGACCTGTTGAGAGGCTTTTACAGTCCGCAAGCAGCACGTCTTGCTGTAATTATTTTTCATAGCAGCAACCCATTTTGAATACTAATGCTAAAAGCAAACGCGTCTTAAAAGTGGTAAGTATATCAAGTAAAGTGTATTTTTGAGATTGTAGGCAAAATCATAGTGGTTTCAAAGCCAAAATGTTTTTGAAGTAGGATAGAAATATACATCAAAAAGTAAAAATGGTCCTTTGGAATGGTTATGTGGTTAACTTGTTTCATAGAATGAACTAGTGTTGAAATAGATTGTTTAGTGGTATAAATAATTTTTCATATCATCACTTGGGCAATGCAATTAACATAAATATGGCTCTATCCTATTTCATTTTGACTCTGGTATTTTTTTAGATTACTGGCAGGTTTGAATTTCCCTGAAGTTATCTTCGGAAGGAGGCATCTCCCCCCAAAACCCTCTTAAATATGGAAGAACATTTCATGTCTTACAGAGTTTATATTTTTCATTTTAGTTTCTTGATTGCTTTTAAGAAATGTTGAGAAAATTCTCTATATAATACAATATAACCACAGAAACATGCACACACCAAATGTAAACTTTCTAGGAACATTCCCATATTTTAAAAATTGATGAAATTTTAATTCATTTCTCAGAATATAACGAGGCACAGAGATCCTATTTGGTTACCATTAGGGCTGAATTGTTTATACCAGAAAAATTGTGCAAATCTCCATTGTATTAAGCCAGAAATCGACTAAATGACACTTTCTATAATTTCATTAACATTGTATTACAGGAAAGTCATAGAATAAGTGCTGACTTTTCTTTTGAAAAGTCCAATTCTGTTCAATGGGATATCAATGTGAAGTAATTGATTAAATAATAACTCATTAAACATTAAGCAATTATTAGGTTAAACAATATGAAATTGCTGGTATTGAACTTTTGGCCTGCATAAGCATTAAACATCGACATCAAAAATGACTAGAAATAAAATTTCTGCATTTAAAGAAGAATTCAGTCTACTGAAGTAAACAGACTCAAAATAACAATAAACATGAGTGTCATGTTTAGAGCCATGGACATGGGACTTTGGGGGTAGAGGGCATGGAGGGATTAGCTTGCTCCAACAGGAATTTCACTAACTACCATTCACCAATAGAGATAAAATATATCAATGGAATAGCCTACATATTCTTTTCTGTGCTCACAAATGCATCTGAAAGATAATAAGATCAACAACCTTATGCAGAAAGATGGAAGAGAACTGTCTGGGACTGTTTTCATCTTTTTGTGCTCAAAAAACTTTAAACTGATGTGTTTTTCTGTTCTCTTGAAAAATTCCTTTGAAATTCCTTTGGATATCAGCAAGGAGGCCATCACCAAACAATCGTATGAAACCGCCCTATGATGTCCATATGGAACCGCCCTGTGATGTCCATTTAGAACCGCCCTGTGATGTCCATTTAGAACCTCCCTGTGATGTTTGTATGGAACCGCCCTGTGATGTCAGTATGGAACCTCCCTGTGAGGTCCGTATGGAACCGCCCTGTGAATTCCGTATGGAACCGCCCTGTGAAGTCCATATGGAACCGCCCTGTGATGTCCATTTAGAACCGCCCTGTGAAGTCCGTATGGAACCGCCCTGTGAATTCCGTATGGAACCGCCCTGTGATGTCCTTTTGGAACCGCCCTGTGATGTCCATTTAGAACCGCCCTGTGATGTCCGTATGGAACCGCCCTGTGAAGTCCGTATGGAATCGCCCTGTGATGTCCTTTTGGAACCGCCCTGTGATGTCCATTTAGACCAGCCTTGTGAAGTCCGTATGGAACCGACCTGTGATGTCTATTTGGAACTGCCCTGTTCCCTGTGATGTGAATTTAGAGCCGCCCTTGATGTCCATTTAGGACCACCCTGTGATCTCCATTTAAAACTGCCCTGTGATATTCATTTGGAACCGCCCTGGGATGTCAGTATGGAACCGCCCTGTGATGTCCATGTAGAACTGCCCTTTGATGTCCATTTAGAACCGCATTGTGATGTCCATATGGAACCACCCTGTGTAGTCCATATGGAACCGCCCTGTGATGACAATTTGGAACAGCCCTGGGTTGTCAATTTAGAACCGCCTTCGGATGTCCATTTAGAATCACCCTGTGATGTCCGTATGGAACCCCCCTGTGATGTCCGTATGGAACCCCCCTGTGATATCTATTTGGAACAGCCCTGTGATGTCCATATGAAACCGCCCTGTGATGTCCGTATGGAACCGCCCTGCGACGTTCGTATGGAACCGCCCTGCGATGTTCGTATGGAACCGCCCTGTGATGTCCATTTAGAACTGCCCTGTGATGTCCATTTAGAACCGCCCAGTGGTGTTCGTATGGAACCGCCCTGTGATGTCCATTTAGAACCCCCCTGTGATATCTATTTGGAACAGCCCTGTGATGTCCATATGAAACCGCCCTGTGATGTCTGTATGGAACCGCCCTGTGATGTCTATTTAGAACCGCCCTGTGATGTCCATTTAGAACGCCCCCTGTTATGTCCATTTAGAATGCCCCCTATGATGTTCGTATGGAACCGCCCTGGGATGTCTATTCAGAACCGCCCTGTGATGTCATTCCATGGCCAACGCTTGGTTGAGGGTCACCGTCTGATTCACGATGCAGAGCCCTCTTCCAATGACTTAGGATTATTATAATAACCCACAAATTATATTTATTGGGAGATGTCTGTAGTCTTTCTTGATGCCCCTGTGTTTAGCCAGATAGAAGATTTTACATTTGTTGGTGTTCATAGAGGTATTCCAATCCTTGTAAAGAATGTTTTTCTTGTTTAAAAAATTATATAAAGAAAAATAAGCTGAAGAGAATACTTTCAAAACATTTAAAAGTTTTAAACACCTACTCACCTTAAAAAAACAAACAAACAAAAAACAATAGGTCACAACCTGCTGATATCACCTTTCATTGATGTTGACACATTCTGGTTGTCAATTCTATTTCTGTTCACTTAACCATAGCCTCGCATTGCTACTTACAGAACTTAGCTTGGAAATTTGGCTTTGTTCATACTGCAGTGACTGGAAAGCCACATTTTTATGATAAATAAAAGTGCCGTTGGAACTGCCTCACCTTTTTCGAACTGATCTTGAGTTGCTTTTATGATGACGAACATATGACACTTGTATCTGGGACTAACCGTGGGTGAAGTGTACAGAGACTAGCAGCCAGACTATTTAATAAAAACCACCATTTCTGCGTTTGAATTCATCCTGATACATAAGTATTTGTTTTTTCTTTTTGCTAAATCTCCATCTCTCAACTCTGATGTTCTCTAGGGCAGCTGAGCAATCAATTTGATCTTCAATCAATAAATGCTGATTGCAAAAAAGAATGAAGCAAACAAAACCTGAATTCTTTTAGAGTCAAAGAAGGCCACGTTAGTGACCATTTCGTGCTGCCCCTTCAGTTTGCAATTGCTTTAATTGGTTCAAAAGGATTTATATCACAACAACAAAAAAACAACAAGGGGCCTTGCCTAGGGCAGAGGCAGAGGGTGGCTCTAATTTCGTACAAGGAAATTGTTGTAAAACAAACAACTGCAATTTAGAATCTGAAGTGTTTTAAAGGAGACAAGGGAGAAGGGGAATTGATCAGCTCGGCTTGGGCGTTAGTGAGTGTGTAAGAGCCGGTATTGTGTGACAACAGTTAACCATTAGGTCCTAGTCAAGCAGGAAGATAAAAGGTGAGGAAGAGGGGCGGCTTGAGAAAGGCACAGAAGCAAGGCAGAGCCTAACTATTCGGGAGGAACAAGTAGAGGGAGGACAGGTTCAGACATTGACGAGGAGGATAAGGCGGTCAACAGGCACCGCACCCTGAAGGATGCCCTATTCTGGCTTTATTTTCTAGACTCCAGGCAGGGAATCTTGTTAAGCAGTAATTGACAATATCCAGGCAAAATACAATGAAAACTTGACTTAAGACAGTGGAATTCAGTGGGAGTCACTTTGAATTTCAAGAGTCTCAGAAACATTCGATTATAGAGGTTTAAAAGGGAATACAAATTTTGAGTCTAAAGGGTGGGGGCCATACCTACAGGTGCGGATTCCTATTCAGCAGAGTTGGAAGTTGAAGCAGTGAAGACAAGTGTGAGCACTTAGAAATAAAGTGGTCCACAGAGCAGCATCAGTCTCACCTGGCAACTCGTTCGAAATGCAGAGTCTCAGGCCTCGCCTATGACCTACTGATTCAGAATCTGCTTTTGCCTTAGATTTGCAGGTGATGTCTATGCATGTCAAGGTTTAAATGCCTGCTTCACACATTAAACTCCACCAGGATCCTCCGTGGAAGATAACTGGGAGGACCTGGATATACCCAACTGAAGTACCCCTGTATTACTAAAACAGTGCAGGCACACCTCATCTTATTGTGTGTTGCTTTGTTGAGCTTCACAGGTGTTGTGAGGATTTTTTTTTTCTTCTTCAAATTGAAGGCAATACCCACCACCAGCAAAAAGATCACAACTACTTTTATTGCAATACTCACTTTATCACAGTGGTCTGGAACTGAACCAGAAATATCTCAGAGGCACGCCTGTAATTTAAACCCTGGTTGCACATTGAAAGAACTTTCATAACTTCAAACATATACTGAAGTGCAGACTTTGCTCCTAGATATTCTGATTTATATGTTCTGGGGTGAGGCCCAGACACTCCCCAGGTGATTCTAATGTATAGATATGGAAGAGAATCATTGTGCTCAGAAGTCTTAAAGGGATGCAGAACTCTAAATCCAATCACATATAATAGGATGCTTCATCATGAGAGAATAATGCTGCCATGTATTAATAATAGAAGCCTTAGCTGTTCTTCAGCAGGATGGTGTGCAGGTAACTTCTAGGAGGTGTCATTGATGACAAAAGATGGCATATTCCTTAGGGAACCTATGAGTTCTTATTAAGCTCTTAACTTGTAAGAGTTTCAATTGATTAACTTAGAAAACTTACACAAACATTTTTTTTTTTTTTTTTTTTTGGTACATGCCCCTAGCAGAAACCGAACCCAGGACTCTCTGGTCTGCAGGCCAACGCTCCAACCACTGAGCCAAACCGGCCAGGGCTACACAAACATTTTTTAAAGTTAGCAGAGACAGGACAGAAATTTGTCATATGTTAAAGTAGTTTGGGAGAGAGGGAGGGAGCAAGAAGCCAGAAGGGAGAGAGATTTTTCTCTGAGTGGTAATAAGCTATAGGCCTCAATTTGCTAAACCTTGAAATGGTGACGTTTTGTAAGACTGAAAGACTGTGTAGGTGTAAGTAGAATGTCAAGGATGAGTCGAAGATTAATACCTAAATTATAGAGTATGATGGAAATTTTATGCCTCTGCCTTTGAAATCAAGTTGGGGGCAGGAAGTATTGGCTGATTCTAAAGTACTGCTTATATTGGGTTATCATTTAATCAAATAAATTGTGCCCAATTCCAACAATGGAGAAAGACTTAAGCCATGTATTTTTAAATAGTTCTGCAAATTTCTCAAGCATACATAGCATATTCATTGGCAGGCTGGCTCCAACTGTGTAAAATGAGATCTCAAAAAGTTTAGGAGTGTTTAACTATATGAGAATGTGTTATGCACTGATCCTAGTAAGATTTTTTCCAAATTTGCATATTATGTTATAATTAAAGTGTTGTGGCAATCTCAAAAGTAACCTACCAGCAGAATATTTTTTTTCTTTTATCCTCACTTGAGGACATTTTTGCATGTATCTTCAGATAGAGTAGGAGGGAGAAAGGGAGGAAGAGAGAGAGAGAAAAACATCAACGTGAGAGAGACACATTGCGTGGTTGCCACCCACACAACCCTAACCAGGGCCGGGAACAAACTGCAACCGAGGTTCATGCCCTTAGTGGGAACTGAACCCGGGACTCTCCGGTCCATGGGCCAACGCTCTAACCGCTGAGCCAAACTGGCCAGGACAGAATGAATTTTTTATGAAATGTTTATGAAAAGTGTTTTGGTATTCAATAACTACTTGTTCGGGTCTCCACACCATCATGAGTACCTATGGATGGTATGAAGGAACTGCAAGGCATTCTCTCTGTCCTTGAGGAGTTCAGATATTTGTTCAATAAAAACAAGTGGAGTTGTACATCTAAGAAAAATATTTTATTTTCAAGATACAAAAAAATTACACTTAAAATTGAAAAGTCTGCGGAGTCATAATGCTCAAGGTTTTAAAAATTGAGTAAGAGCAATAATACTCCAAATGATAAGTGAATGAAAAATAGCTACAGATTGTTTTATACCTGGTGCAATATTAAGGAAAGTCATGTCAGTTTATGGATACAGAATATTAACCTGAAAAGTTGTAACATTCCACAGTGCTCTTTAACTTAGAACACAGGCATAATTAATTTACCTATTCACTCCAAATCTTGAAATAGGGTGGATAAAAATACTGTTGTTGCCCGGCTCATGTAGCTCAGTGGTTGAGCATCGACCTATGCACTAAGAGGTCACTGGTTTGATTCCTGGTCAGGGCACATGCTCAGGTTGTGGGCCAAATCCCTAGTGGGGAGCATGCAGGAGGCGGCCAATCGATGTTCTCTCTCACTGATGTTTCTATCTCTCCCTCTCTCTCTAAAATCAAAAAAGAAAAAAAAAATTTTTTAATTGTTTTTTTTTTTTTACTTGAACAAGTTAATTTTTCAAAGAAGGTGTAAAGGGAGCCTATTCTGCAATATTACCCCACACACGTACATCTGTCCTGTCTGACCCTAGTATTTTGTAATGGCTACGTATGGAAGTAAATAGCCTATTGCAGATGGAAAGGAGTTGAATGTATGATAGACTTTTAGTGCCTACTCA